GGGGGGGGGGGAGTTCAGTGTAGGGCTGTGACCTTGCTGTACCCCCCTACCACCACACCCCAGTGGTTGGGGCTCAGGGCTGGAAATAAGCTGCTCAGGGGAAGGGAGTTTCCTTGCCCCCTGCTGTCTTAACTGACAGAGAGCAATTTGCAATTGCTCCCAGTCAGCAGCCTACACATGTGCTGTTAATGCATATTTAACTTAGTCACTGTACAGTTAATTTACTACCTGTATACACAGGCAGTAGGCAACCATGCAGTAGACTAATGTACTGTGCAGTAACTACTGTGCACCTGTGTCGATAGTGACACCTTCCTGAGCGTGTCTTCACATCCGCATTTACTGTGTAGTCACCAAAATTACTGCTCAGTATGGGCATGCATCTATGTGCATGTCCATACTGCACAGCAAACATGGCAGTTTGGGACTAGAGTTAGTAGACACCTGCCTATTCCCACTTACTGCACAGTAATTTACTGCACGGTAAATTTAAATTGGCATAAATGCACATGAAGGCATACCACTGTGCAGTAGATTAGTCTACTGTGCAGTAAAACATCTCATGTAGACATGCCCAATGACACAAAGTTAATTTGCTGATGTGAGTGCCTCAAGTCCCAAGATCTCCTACCACAACTTGATTAAAGTTGTATGCAACATAATTAAAGGAATTGGTGTTTGTGTGCAAATACTTATTGGCCATTGACGTTTTTCAAATAAAAACCAGACTTCTTAAATTTGCAAAGTAGCTGTCCAGGAGGAATCAAAAATGCCATTTTGATATTGTGAATCTCACTGTTCAACTATGCATTTGTCAATGCTGACACTGGACACACTAAAAGTTTTTCCCAATTTCAGTTCTGCCATAAAACCCCCTGAAACATGAAAACTGTTCAGACTACCAAAGAAACACTCCCTCAGCATATGTGTTTTGAATACAAACATCAGCTCATCCGCAATACCTGCTCTTCTTCTACTAAAAAGGCAAAAAGTTGATAATCACAGTGGCCAGACATGAATGATCTCTGTTTTATAATGACAGTACATAAAGTTAGTTTTAAACATCCTAACGTCAGAATCAAAGATAACAGTATCAGTAGGTCATCTGGAATGCATGCTACTGAAAACAAGAAAAATTCCTGGCCACAAAGGAAATTATTCAATACCTTAAGAAACATTTGCTATGCCCCTTTTATCTTTTGTATGTAAGAACACTCAGATTTTTCAAAAAAAAAA